CGAGCCAGGCCCCCGCCCGCTCGAGGGAGCGTCCGCCCGGGCGGCGAGTCCTGCGCGGTCCCGTTTGCCCCGCGGACCCGGGCGCTGCTCCTCGCCGTGTTTGAATGGGGCTGGGATCCCGCTTGCCGCGCCCCCGCTGCGCGCGTGTCCTCTTCGAGACCCGTCACTACTGTGCGTAGGTCTGCAACCCCCCCCCCAATACCCTCACTTGTCCCACAGCCTCTGCCCTGCTGCACTAGCAGCACAGCCCAAAAGCAGGAGCAGCGTAGCCCCACGCGTCCCTTAGTGCCAGCTGAAAGAACTGACGGCACGCAGCGCTGGAAGTGCCTCTGTTAAATGTGCTGGTAGATGAACAGTTCTTCACAGAGGTCCAGGAGACAGACACGTTTTCCACAATATATTGTAAAACCATTCTTAGAGTGGGTACGTTTAGAGCAGGGCTCTCCACCCCTTTTGAAGTGCAATCCAAGATCTACCTCAAACCCAAACTCCCTTGTTCCCCCTCCTTTGTCCCCCTTCTCCGAGGCCCTACCCCTGCTTACTTCATCCCTCCCTCTCCCTCCCATCCTCCTTCACTTTCACCAGGCTGGGGCAGAGGGTTGGGGTGCAGGCTCTGGTCTTGGATGACAGGATTTGAAGTGAGAGGGGCTCTGAGCTTAGCTTGGGGCAGGCTGTTGGGGTGCTGGAGGGCATTCTCAGTGCAAGCTATGGGAGGGTGTTCAGATGCAGGGGTACTTTGGATTGGGGCAGGGACTTGGCGGGCAGGAAGGGGTTCATGACTGGGGTAGGGTTTCAGGATGTGGGCTCCAGGAGGGCATTGTTTACCTGAAGTGGCTCCTGGGTGGTGGTGCAGTGGGGCTAAGGCAAGCTCACCCTTATCTTGGTCTTGCACCACTCCCAAAAGCAGCCAGCAAACTCCATCCCAAGTCCTGTTGTGCCCCCTCTCTGCTCTGTGGGGCATCAGCACCCAGAAAGCAGGAGGCTCCTGAGGGGACAGCTCCAAGGCAAAGGGCAGAAGGTGCACAGCAGTGGGGGGGAGAGGGGCAACTGAAGTGCTGGCACTTGATAGCCTCTTGGCCAAACCAGTCAGGATCAGCTGTCAGAGGCTCCAAGATCCATCAGCAGATCCCAATCAACTTTTCCACACTGAAAAGTCTACTTAACTCATTGCTTGTTTTTGCTCTGGAATAATGAACAACAGTGATCCTACCTCCCACTGATGTAGAAATTCTCCTCTCTAGCCTTGCAAGTCTTGAAAAGTTCTCATAGTTTGTCAATTATATTTTGGGCCTGTAGGCAAATGAAATGCTCCTGGTTGCATTGGCACAAGGGCCATGTGTAGGATTTGCTTTCTCTTGATTTCTACAGTTAGTTCCTTTCCATTTTGAGCACTACTGGGAAGGTAGAAGAGGTATCCTACATAATCAGCCAGGTTTGCTTTTACACACATACAAGCTGAGGTTTCCTTCAGTGCATCTCCCCAAAGAGCTGGAAGGTAACTTGTTTCCAGGCCCAACTGCCACTACCAGTAGTTTAGTAATGAGTACAAACAGGAGCAGCCCTAGACGAGCTGCCAACAACTGGCACCCTAGGCAAAACGTGCGATTGGCGCCCCTGCCTCCAAACGCCCTCAACAGCTGTTTAATTTGGCGCCCTAGGCAACCGTCTAAATTTGCGCCTATGGACAGGCCGCCCCCAAGTACAAAAAACATTATGACCTCTAGATTCTTTGCTAGAAGTTTTTAAAATCAGACACCAGAGCCATTTATAGAAATAATTCAATAGGGAATTGATAGTTGAAAGACTAAATCTTTACTTGGCATTTTGGAGTCACTGAATCTGCACAGCAACTGTTTACAGTAAAAATACTGAAGACGTGGGCTCAGCACTGAACTTTGGAATCAAGTGTTAAATACAAAACAGCTTCAACAAGAAATTCACACCTCCTCCCAGAGACCAGCAAGGGGGTTTTGAGCACCCTCCTCGATTTACTCATTACACTGGAGTGAGTCTTCATTTCCGGCAGATGTGTAAGGCAGCAGTGCCCCTGGGATCTACTCAGAACAGAGAAGTTGGTGGCTTCAGTTTACAGGCCACCACAGAGTGTAGGGATGGGGAAACTGAGGCAGAACAGCACTCTCCTTCCCCAGAGGACAGTGACTTGACACCAGCATTTCAAAATGGGCCTGCAAACCAATTCCCTTGATCCCCAACCATGAGAGTCATATTTCTGCAGCCCCGAGCCAGGCACCATCCCTGGACTCCAGCTGTGACGGGAAGCAGACATTTACAGCTCTAGACACATTTCTATTTTATTATGGCAAAGGTGAAAAAACCACCTCGGCCCAACAGGCAACCAGTAAAATTTATCCCAAAAATAACTCAGTACAAAACAGGTCTGTTTCAGAATTAAAAAAAAAAAAAAAACCCTTTACATGAGTTTAAAACCTATTCCAAAACATAAAAGTAAAACAAATTCCGTCCTTGATATTTGTGGCCACAGTCATACACCCCGCCAGAGAGCATGGAATGAGATGTCTGGAGTCCTTTCCATGCTGGGGATGTGCTCACTGCTTTAACTGGTGTCCATCTAGAAGGAGAGAGAAGAGGTTGTTCACAATACTGCAAGACAGAACAGGAAAAAGCTTTCCATGGGTCTCACCCCAAATGTTACTGTTCAAATTCAGTTTTCAGACAGAGTTAGGCCTTTACCCTAGAAAAGTGCACTGGTTTAATCAGGTCAATTTGATACTATCTTCCTAAGCCAGTGGAACATAGCAAGCCACTAGATAAGAAATGGTCAAACTAGTGTTGAAGCAAAGACTTCACTCAGTTTATGCGGCTAATAAAAGCAAAGTGAGCCAAACGTGGTCCCAGCAGAGCCGGGCCCAGTAAGGCTGGCTAATACAATCAATCCTAGTATTTTATACCCTTAACCAAACAAGTCTGACGTCAGGACAAGAAATCAAAGCAAACTTCAAAGAGGAATTATCATCAGTGGAGAAAGAAACAGGTTTAGAGGGAGTTCGAGGTTCAGCTCAAAATAGTTCATTAACACATTCCAAGAGCGCATCCTTCTGGCCTCTCCCCACCTCGGTGAAGGCCAGTTCACTCCCTCTAGTATACGTGCAGACACAAACTGAAATGGCTTGTTATACAGAATGGCTTCAGCTAAATATGAAATGGTTTCTACACTAGTTTAAACGCATTAGAGATTTGTACCAGTTACTTGGCACATTTTAAAATGATATAAAATCAGTGTCCATTTCTAATACCAACAAGACTTTTATTTCCCTGCTTCTGTATAGATGTCTGCTCTACATTTTCAAGTGCTTCGTCCTGTCATTAGAACAGTCCCCATTTAAATGCTACCACTTCCCCAAGGAGTTGATTCTACTGCTTGGCTCATCTCATTGTCAGTGTTTTTTCCTCTTATTCTCCTCGAGGCTCTCCTCCTCAGTCACCTCATGTTTCATACTATTGTACGCGCTACACCCCGGGTGTCAGCAGTGTGGGAACAGACATGGTCTGGACTAGGGGTATTAAATATACTGAATAGTCAAGTAACCTCATGAAATGTTATCGATTAGTCAACGATTCTCTAGTCCCCGAGGGCGGGGCTGGCAGTCATTGAATCAGAGGCAGCCACGCAGGGTGCCAGGCAGGAGCTGGTCCACACGGGGAGCCAGTTTAAAAACCAGCTTCCCTCGCGGATCGGCTGCCTGTCATCTGGTGCTGCTGCTTCTGATCACGATCTACCAGTTGATTGCACCCCGCCCCCATTTCCCTTCCACTCCTGAGAAGCCCCACTACCTACCTCAAGTGAAAATGGAGGTAGTGTCGGCTTCCCAGGGATGGACAGAAGTCCCGCAGCTTAGCCCCACAGCCAGCGATTCCGGAAGTGCGCTAGCTGCTCTGCCGGGTGTACTGCGGGAGGGAGCATCGGCTCCCTGCACTGCACAGGAGGGGTGAGTCAGCCCGGGGGAGGCAGGTTGGCCCCAGGGCAGGCACGTGCATGCAGGGCTTCCCTGCGTGGGGAGGGTGGTCAGCCCTGGGGCAGTCACACGCAGGGCTTCCCTGCGCTGGGGGCTGGAGGGGTCGGCCCCGGGGCAGGCGCGCACTGGTTTCCCTCTGGGGGCGGGGCCCTGGGAGGAGGCAGATGCAGAGGACTCTCTGCCTCCACTGGCACCCCGCTCCCGTCTCCAGCCACAGAACTCTGTCCCCACTCCCCTGTGCCCAGCTACAGAATTCTGTCCCCATTCCTGTTCCCAATCCCTGAACTCTGTCCCCACTGGCACCCTGTCCTCTGCCCTCCCAGCACTCTGTCCCCTCCCCCTGCCCCCGCCACAGAACTCTGTCTCCACAAAATGTATAATAAATGTTTCATTTTAGATGTAAATAGCATGAATAAAAAACAGACCATTTATTTCATAACTATAAACATGTGATTTTAATTTTTTATATAATTTTAAAAATAAACTGTTTATGAGAGTGTGTGAGTACGGGCTGGGGATAGCAAGTGATGGACAGGAGGAGAATAGAGGGGGTGGGGCTTCAAGGAAGGGGCGGGGCAGGAGATCTTTGCCTGTTCTGAGATTTAAAAAGTGATCTTGGCTGTAAAAAGGTTGGAGACCACTGGTCTAGTGTTTCAAAGACAGCATTTTCAATTTCTTTTTAACTCCCAGGACCCCAGCTTTCAGGGTGATATGTATTTTTTGTGAAGTGCTGAGCGATTCTCATTAGATTCAGTGGGAGCAGTTCACACAAGTCTCATGTGGAATCTGGCAGAAACAGGGACAAGAGCCCCGGCCTGTTTTTTTCAAGTGCTTAGTATCCAGAGCAGGTGCCAAATTTTTCATAGTTCTTAGCACCCTGCACCTCCCATTGGGCCACTTGTGGCTAGATTTTTAAAGGAGCTCAGCTTCCACCGCACTGAATGTTTTTTGAAAATCTGATTGCTTATTTTGGTGTTTCGATGAGATCTGAACTTCTTTGAAAGTATGGCCCTAGATGTGCTATTCTGTCACAGGAAAAACTTAAAAAACAACTAGTCTAGTGGCACTTTAAAGACTAACAAAACATGTAGATGGTATCATGAGCTTTTAAGGGCACAGCCCACTTCTTCAGAAGACTGGAGTGTTGGAAGTTCAGATCCAAGAATACATAAGAAAAGGAGGGCAGGAAGGGGAGAAGAAAAAAAATTGAAGGGGAGGAAGAAAAAAAAGACAGTGGCTTCTCTATGTTTTTTTTTAAAACTTATTGATTATTCAAGAGTTCAAGAACATTGAATTAGTTACTTAAAGTGGGCTTTGTCTTTCAGCCAAAGACATAGATACTACCTCACCCCCCAATTTTGGTACCAACTAAAATAAAAACACATGATCTTTAAGTTGACATTATGCTAGCAATGTAACATGTCCTCATCAGCACTTTTATTCGGACACACAAAAAACCTAATGAAGAAATGGTGATTGTTGTTGTCAAGCAATGACGGGTAAAGGATGCTTTCAGAACAGTGATTTAAAGCTGTTGCCCTCCATGATATATCACAGAAAGCGTTCAAAGGGTCCTGGCTACGGCATATGTTAAATTGTAGATTTCTCTAGACTGATTTAATGCTCATTGAAGCCAGTTAAAATGTTCCTATTGATTTCAATGGGTTTTGGAGCAGACACTGTATGTGTGTTTGATAATTGATAGTATTTCTGTAAACAAATGAGACAGCTGTACTTGTTCACTGAAATATCAGTAAGACTATGCATTTCCTAATAGGCAGATATGTTACTTTAAAAAGTTATACTCTCCAGCTTTGGGAATTATTTAATGACTAATGTTATAACTTTCCAAGGGACAATTTCCAACTGTTTAAAACAATTTCTCTTGTTATTCATATCTACTATATATTTGAGAGAATTTGTACATCTGTGAGTCTGTCCAAGAACTCCTACTAAACAGTAAGAGCTAGGACCATCACATTTGGTATGCAACTTCCTTTAATCATAATTTAAAAGTGTTTGGTTGTGCCAGGACAATGGGATCCAACTGTTTCTCATCAAATGGAAAGGGAGAGCTGTGATAGCAGGGACAGTTATACTCAAGAATGACCATGGGAGGGCAGCAAGCAAGCATGCCTCTGCAGCTCCAATAGCCCTGGAAAGCCCCAAGGCAACATCTCTGGCCAGGCAGTGTGACCCCACCACCACCCTGGCCCAGCCCTGTAGAATGCCAATAGACATTCCCACCCACACCTCCTGCCCTGATTCCTGCAGCCTCCACCCTTGCCCCGAGCCTCCCACTCCTCCCACCCTGACTCCTGCACCTGCATATCCCCAAGCCCCTGCCCTGACTCCTTCACCCTTTTGTTCTATGGATCAGCACTAGTGGCAAACCCATCCGTATTTAGTTTGGAGTCCCAATGATATAGACCTTCCTCTTTCTGATACTGGTGGTGATTTTTCCAACCTTCCCTCATCTGTTGTTTCTGGCTGCAAGTCCTGTTGCCTTTTGTTCTCACTTGCAATCTTCATGAGAAGTCCTGTGGCAGAGGGTAGAAGGTGCAGAAGTGAGGGCTGAGGATTAGAAAGTTGGGAGGGGGGGGTACTCACTAGAGCTGCCCACAGAGCCCATGCTACTCAGACAGCAGCTCCTCCCAGTGCAGGCCCCAGCCCATGTATCTCCTCAGTATGTGGGGAGTGAGGGGGAGCCTCAAGCTGTGCTGCCTGACCCCAACCAGGGCATCCCTGGGTGGGGGTGGGGGGTGGGCTGGGGCCTGCATTGCCTGGCCCTAGTGGTTTCTCAGTGGTGGGTTGGGTGGGATAAGCGGCTCTTCCATGGGTGCAGTTGGGTTGTGCTGGCTGGCCCCAAGCCCCAGCTCCTCGGAGGAGTGGGCCATGCTGCCTAGTCTCACACTACCCAGTTCTGGCAGTGCTCCCAGGGGTCACCGCACTGGGGCCACTGGGTGGTGAGTGCCCTCCCTGGCAGTGCAGCCAAGGGCCAGCAGAGGGTGCTGTTTGGAGTGACGGGGCCACTTTCCTAAAAACATTTTGTTATTTCTTTTTGAGTTTTTGGCTAGCTGTTCCTCAAAATCTTTTTTTGCTTTTCTTATTACATTTTTACACTTGATTTGACAGTGTTTATGTTCCTTTCTATTTATCTCACTAGGATTGGACTTCCACTTCTTAAAAGATGCCTTTTTGTCCCTCACTGCTTCTTTTACATGGTGGTTAAGCCACGGTCACTCTTTTTTAGGTCTCTTGCTATGTTTTTTAATTTGGGGTATACATTTAAGTTGGGCCTCTATTATGGTGTATTTATATTGCATCCCTAGTCTGGACCCTGGCAGGTGGAAGCAGCTCTGTGCGCTATTGCTCCCCCTCCCTTCCAGCTGAGGGAATGGCAGCACAGCGACACGCTCTGCCAAGGCTTTTACCCACCACTCCCACAGCAGGGGGAGGTGGCAGGGGAACATGGAGTAGGGATGTGAATATAGTCGACTATACGATTAACTAATAAGCCTAGTCTTATCGGTTATCTTGTTGACTATACACATTTCCCCCCTCCCCTTGCTGCTTCTGTATCAGAGGGGGCTTCCAGCTGAGGGAATGGCAGCACAGCGACACGCTCTGCCAAGGCTTTTACCCACCACTCCCACAGCAGGGGGAGGTGGCAGGGGAACATGGAGTAGGGATGTGAATATAGTCGACTATACGATTAACTAATAAGCCTAGTCTTATCGGTTATCTTGTTGACTATACACATTTCCCCCCTCCCCTTGCTGCTTCTGTATCAGAGGGGGTAAGAGGGGGGAGAGCAGGAGCTGGTGCTCGGGGGAGCCAGCCTGAAAGCCAGTGTCCCCGTCCCCCCCCCGCATTGCTGTTTCTATCAGAGGCAGCGGGGGAGGAGGGAAGGGAGCAGTCCCTGTCTGTGGGGGGCTGGGGTTTCC